AGAATCGGATGAATTGAGGATGTTCCTTTTTTTAACCTTGTTTCAGTTATACTAATAATGGAAAAATCAAAATTAATTAATGATAATATTATGTTTAAATCCTCAAAGTGTTTTTGTAACGATGATATGTTTAGATGAAAAAAGGAGAGAGCACTTATTTTATTAAAATTAAGTGTACGTAATTCGCTTATGTTCTAATATTTACAAAATATGTCTAATGAAAAAGAAATTTCTTCCTCAGAATCTAAAACACAAGATGAAACATAATTATTAATTTGATTAGAGACTTTATTTAAATGAAAAGGCAGGCAAAGGTTTGTAGACAGAGGTAAATCGTCAGTTTTAAGAATTATATCAGAAGAAAATAGCAATTTAAATTCATTATCTTGTACATCTGTGAATGGAAACACTTTTAATACAGTTTAAACAACTCCGCAACAAGTGACTTAATTGTAGTAAACTGTACTTAGTATCATTAAGCCTGTCACATTTTGTATGAGACCAAAATAAACAAATATTACGTTGAGATGAGCGGCAACTTTGACTAATTAATTTTTTACACAAATCACAGTTTAAAGCCATAGTGGAACCGCAATATTAGAGAGAATGTAAGAAACAATAAGTAGGAAGTAAATAGCTATGTTATTAATAATTGTTAAAATAAAATAATGCGTATGAATAGATAATTAAGAACAACCAATTTAAGTATCGAAAAACTAACAATTATAATAAATAATATTAATGTAGTTAAACAATAACGCAACAGCCAAACAAACAGTAAACTATAACAAAAACAAAAATTTTAAAGAAAATTATAAAATCAGACTAAATGAGTAAAAAAACTAATTAAAGTTAAAAGAAATGTAAATTAAAAAATATAATAGCAATAGTAAAAATAAATATTAAATATTATATATTAAAATAAGTAATCTAATAATAAATTGTAGTAATATAAATAAAAAGAATAGTGTAATATTTAAAATAAGATAAAAAATAATAGATACAAATAAAAACTATAAAAATTATCTACTCTTTTAAGAAACTGATCTTCTCTTCTGATCTTCTTATTAATTTATCAACTTATCTCTTTTTATTTAACTTATTTTCTTTTCTTTTCTTTTTCTTTTTTTGTTAAATAAAAATAGATATTCAAATTTTCTTTTATTTGTTTTTTTTTTTAAATGTTGTTTTTGAGTGTTTATTTGTTAAAAGTTTCTTTTTTTATAATATGTTTTTTTGTTTTACTTTCCTTTTATTTTGATAATTTTGAATTCTTTATTTAAAACAATTGGTAATTAACTCTTGGTAAGTTTTTAATTGCCTTTCTTTAATTCCTTTTTCCCTTTCAACTGTTAAAAAAACACGACCACCATCTGCGATGACCTTGCAAAGACTCAGGAATAAATTTAAATTAAAGTTTAAATTAAATGACCTTGTTTTTATAAAATTTGAAATAACATTTTAAATGTTATTTTAAAATGTTTTAAAATGTGTTAAAAAATAAATAAAAATAAAATGTCAAAATTATGAAAAAATTAAAATGCTTCCTTGATGCAGAATTTAAAAATATCAATTAAAAGTTTTTAATATTGTTTACCTCCCCCAAGGCCACTTCCTTCCACTTCAGTCGAGGCTTTATTATTATTATTTTTTTATTTTTTGATGTGGTTGATCAGCAAATGTGTGAGATTATCAGCACCATATGTGTTGAGTCTTCTTTTTGTAATAGAAAAAAAACCCCATCAAGATCAAAGATTCAGATTTGCTAAGAAATGTTACTTAATATTATTACTGTTATTGTTATGTGGTTATTTCCACATTTAATCACTCAGTCCATTCTACCATGTAACTTCGTTTTGTTTCATAATTTAACACATGATTCTTGTCTATAAAAAAGCATTGTATGCAAAATTTTTGCCCAAAATGTTGAGGAGTTTACAAGATATTGAAATTTTAATATCGACCTGGTTTCCCAAAATGACCTGGTTTATATAAAATTTAAAATAACATTTTAAATGTTATTTAAAAATGTTTTAAAATGTGTTCATAAATAAAAAATATTGAAATTATGAAAAAATTAAAATGCTTCCTTAATGCAGAGTTTAAAAATATCAATTAAAAGTTTTTTTAATATTGTTCACCTCCCCAAGGCCACTTCCTTCCACTTCAGTCGAGGCTTTATTATTATTGTTTTTTTTTTTTTGATGTGGTTGCAAATCTCTCTCAACTCTTTAACTGCAAAACACAAACCTTGTTCTAGTTCATAATTTTTTTGCCTTATGAATAAAACATTAGTCATCTTTTTGATGTTAGTTAAAATAGCCAATAAACTTTTAAGTGGAGGAATTTAAGTTCAACAACACCCTCTTCCAGGTTGATTCCAGTTGCGATGCCAATTCACCACCTATCATCATAAACTACTGTTACATAATCTCCTTAAGTGACAACATTTTTTAATGTTCCAGTGACAGTTTTATATTTTACCTTGGACTAAAAAAACATAATTTTCTGCCAAGTCACTAATAATGATTATCCTAGATTGATCCATATTTTGTTTTAGTTGATGTGGTTGAGAGTGGGCAATAACAGAATGAGCCTGTGGCTTTTAAAAGCAAGTTAAAAATAGTTTAATGAAAATTAAAAAAGTCTGCTGTCAAACAATTGCACAATCTGTAATTTATCTTAAATCATCTTCATGTTCTCTTATATAAATATTTAGTGAACAGTTTGTTATCAGGACAATGATCACACTTTGTAAGCATTTATTCTTTGTTTTATACTGAACAAACAATTTAATAAAATTAAATTTTTATGTTTTACCAATATATTAGGCATCCACTTATCACCAAAATGCAATACAGCATTTTGGTGATAAGTACAAACATAAACAGATTGTATACGTTTTGTACTTGGCAAAATGCACCACTTTGGTCTAAATAAAGTAAATTTTAAATAGCTTTTTTGAATTTTTGAAAATAAAAAGCCATTTAAAAAAATCTTTTGCTTAACTTAAAAGAACTTTACAAAGCCATTTATGTATAAATGGCTTTGTATAGTTCTTTTAAGTTAAGCAAAAGTTTTTTTTGTTTATGAATGTTCTTTCCGATGTTACATAATCTTTTTTTTTTCAGTTTGACAAAAGTTTATTTTTATCAATCTATGTCTGAAAACAAAAAGTTTGTTTCAACTTTTCATAATGACTAATGACAAAATTTTCTCTTTTATCATACCCATAATTTCATTGAAGTTTTTGGTCTACTTTTTAATGCTATTTGTTTCATCAAACATTTTTTCTAAAGAGCATCAGAATTTTAAATTTTTCTAGTTATGTTTTTTAATATTTCCCTGATGTGTGATCTTTTGTTTACAAGGTTGCCAGAGTTTCTTCCTAAAAGTTTAAATTTTTTCTAAAGGTTTAAATCTATTGAATATTTAAACAAAGTTAAAAAAATTATAATGTAAATTCACCTTTCCATCTTTTTTAGGCTACTAAGCAAGTTATATTATAAAAAATATTGAGTCTAATAAACTTACGATTGGATATACATTTATTAACAAGAAGAATTTAAAACTAGTCTTCAGAGACTTCTGGAAAATCTTTAATAAGTGTCTTTAATAAAAGCAAATCTGTCATTTCTCCTCTCTTGCATGGTTCAGATTTTTTTTAGATGATACAGTTGATTATTACCAAGATAGCTTTTCATCAAGATATATTCCAAGATACTTTATATATTTTGATGGAAAAAGTTTTTTACCGTTAATTTTAATTTTAATATGATCAATAGTTTTTTGAGGGGAATGAAAAATAATGTATTCAGTTTTATTGACATTCAAGGAAATACGGTTACTATTTAACCAGTTACATAAGCAATGAAGATCTTGATTAACTTTTTTACAAAGAGTCGTGAGGGATTTGTTGATATATAAAAGATTAGTATCGTCAGCATAATGATGTATCATAGAATTTTTTAATGAACAAGATAAATCATTTATGTATAATAAGAACAACAACGGTCCAAGAACGGAACCTTGTGGAATGCCATATTTAATAACTTTATGTGGATTCAAATCCATTAATTGAAACAAACTGAGTGCGATTCGTAATATATGAAGAAAACCAATGATTAACAATACCACGTATTCGTAGTAGTTTAACTTTTTTATTAGAATGTTGTGATCAACCGTATCAAAAGCTTTTTGAAGATCTATGAATACACCACAAGCAAAAAAACCACTGTCAATTGCACCACAAATTATTTATCATATTATTATTATTGTTATAATTAATATTATCATTATTTATAAGTGCTTTGTTTTTTTTATTTCCATTTTTTTCTCATGTTTTTATGTTAGTATTCTTTGTTTATTGTTTTTTTTTTCTTTTCTTTTAAATCCTTTATATTTTTTATTTACTATTTTTATTTACTTTTTTTTTTTTTTTTTTTTTGGTGTTACTTTATTGACTAGTTTTTAACTATATGATTGAAACCTAACCTTATTTATGTGAGGTTATAATATATTATTGTAAATTTTTCATATTTTATGGTTAAATAAATGGACAAAAAAAAAGTTTTCTGATTTAGGTCTTGACAGGTTACGTTTTATTAAAGTTCATCTTTTGTTTAAATTGCTAGTTCAGGCAAAAGATATCCTTAGCGCATAACAATCAAAATTTTAGTTGTTTTTATTTGTTTTGGTTTTAAAAAAAAGTATGTAAAGTATTAGTATTGATTTTAGAAAGACATTAATTATGATCAAAACTTCACATCCATTATGCAATACATTATAATTGTTACTTTTTTTGTGTGATGTGAGTGATGGTTAAATGATTCAAGTGCAGATAGTTGATATATATGTACACAAATATCTTCACACAAAGATATTTGTATAAAAATAAAATTATTTCTTTTTATTGCAAAGATGTTTGCATGTATATGTATAATTATTAAAAGGTGTTTATAAAATATCTATATATATATACAAACTGTATTTATTTTTAGCGTGTGATGAAGTATGTGCTCTACAATCCTGATCGTATTGATCCAATTCATACAGATGATCTTGTTATTTATCCTTGTATCTTTGCATTTTATTTAATTTTGCATAGAATCATGTTAGATTAGTTTCAACTTGAGTTTGTAGTCATAATCTTTTTTAAAAAATTGCAAAAACTTGTTAACTGTTAATGTCATTTGATATAAAATTGATTTTCAAGTTTATTAATTAACGCCATCTGTTTTATACCAAATAATATCAAAAAAAAATTTTTTTAATTTTTTATTGTTATTAATAGTTTAGAATTATTTAGAACTCTATTATGTTAAATTATGTTAATTAATTATGTTTATTGTATCTTGACTATTTTAATGATAAAAAAATTTGGAGCAACTCTAAAAAGCTTCAATTTTCAAAATATGATGTTAAACTGAATACATCTCCTTATTTGTTTATGTTTTACATTGAGAAAAAAGTTGATAGCACCACTGAGAAATCTAGTAAATGTATGTTATTTGATTTTTTTTTTTTTTTTTTATGTTAAATTTTTTATAAATAATTATTATGATTGCCTTTTAAACAATATTTTTAAAAAGTGTTTATTACATCCAAAATGTGTTCAATATAACCAAATAACACTGGATTTCAGAAGTTTTTTTTTTTTTTTTTTTAATGTTAATTCACCTCCCCAAGGCCAAGAAGACCACTACCGGCGAGAAGACTACTAAATTGTGATTATAACCCTCTCCCAACTCTATAACTTTGAACATGAACCTTGACAAACAAGGCCGCTAGGCGGAGGAACAAAATAAGCACGGTATTACCAGGTATGCGGTGGGGATTGAACTCAAAACCTCTCGCTTATGAAGCGAGTACTCTACAACTACACCACTACTGCAATTAGATTTAAAAATTATATGGGGTTGCTCAAGACAGACTTATCATTTTAAAAGCAGTGATGGAAAGAATCCTGAGCCTGAAGTCCCTATTTTTACCCATGTTCAGAGTCTTTTGAGTCTTTTGTTTCCTGATGTGCAAAAATTCTCTCAAGTCACCATTGTAGGTTTTTTCATCCCAAAATGCTGTGGATTTACTTTTTATTAGTTAATCCTGTGGATAAACTTTTTTATGTATAATTAAATTGTAGGATGAATAATGACATCCAAAATGTTATTTGCCTGCTCACAAGATTCGATTTGATATATTTTTTAATACCTGCTACTTATTTTTGTTTTTTTAGTTGTTTTTTTGTTTGTTTGCATATAATTTACAAAAGAAAATTAAAAAAGTAATCGTTCACTTCCTCTCTTTAGGATATTCGTATTCCTAAAAACTCTAAAAAATTTTAAAACTTTATTTAAATACATTTAAAAAAATTTTTGTAGTCTAAGGAGCACATCATTTTGAACTTCGAAGTCTGGAGTCTCAAAAAATCAATATAACTTTGCATTTTTGCTTAAATGTTTTATAAGAATTTCTAATATAGAAAGTTCTTCAAATTAAATATTTAGTCATTTAGTCATAGAATTTACCTATAAAATCAGGCTTGGACAGGAATGGCGTGCAATCAACCGCTATTGCTGAGTTGCTGCAAAAAAAAAAAAGACTTAAAAATTAGCCTAATCTATTTAAGCCTAGTCAAGTTTAAAAAAAAAATTTTAATAATTTTTTGTAAAAATAGAAACAGAAAAAAAAAAAATAAAGCAATTAAATCATTCCATTGTGACAGAAGATTTAATTTAACTTATTCATAATTTAAAGTTAAAAAATTATCTTTCAAAAGATTTTTAGAAAAACATGGAAAATATTTCAAATGTTTAAATTTATCATAAAAAATACATGTCTAAATAAAAAAAAATTAAATATAACATTTGTTAATTTACATAAAATGCATTTATTTTAAATTTTGATTTAAACTATCACTATAATTAATTTTTTATTTTATTTAAAGCCTTGTAAAACAAAAAACCTTAGAAAAGATCAATTAAAACTTATTCATAATGTACCAATTTTCTTATAGCATTTAAATTGTTAAAACATCAAAACCGCCATTGTCAAATTGTAAAGAAAAAAGTCTATATGCGTGGTCAGTTACAGCGTGCAATCGCATGCCATTCCTGTCCAAGTCTGATATACTTACCAAAAATTCAATACTATTAAAAAAAATTTTAACATAAAATTGAACTCATGCATTTAGTTATTACTTTATCATTTTATTAAATTAGCTTTAATAATGAAAGTAATGCATTTAAACATAATTACAGTTTGTAAAATGCAGGCTAAGCCATAAAATATTTAGTTTTTAACATACCTGGTTTTGGATTAGCAAAATGTCTTTAATTTATTAACCTCGATTAGATCCCATAAAGTTATCAAATTATCACTTTAAAAAGTATTTTTTTCTCTTTTTTACTCTTGTTCTCTAAGTATAAATTTCTTGTTTTTATAACAGTAAAGTTATAATTTTAAAGATGTCTGAATAATCCAAAACTACGGTCAGGTTTGGGTTCAAATACGTATTTGTATTCGGTAGTAATAGTAATAATTAGATTTTTTATGTATAGTGTTGGATTTTTTATATATAGAATTAGATTTTTTATGTATAGAAATTTTAAAGACAAATTAATACTTTATAGTAAAAGTGTAACATTAGAAAATAGTGTATAAATTTATGAGGAATTGTTATTTTAGTCCAGTTTTCAAAAGTATCTCAAGAAGATGATGGGGTAAGTTTTTTAGGAAGTATGGTAATTTTGTGAATGTGTAGTTTATGAAAAAAATTTTGTTTCATTTTTGTAATTATTTGATTAAATAAACAATTAAATAATAGTATTGTTAAAAAATTATTGTTCATACAATGTGAAAAAAAAAAAAAGTTCTGATTTTTTTAAATATATGTAAGTTCCCAAATACTTAAAAAATTTAATATATGTAAGTTCCCAATACTTAAAAAATATTTTTTGCTTGTTTAGGGTATTTTTACCTTAGACTCTGCTCAATTTTGTATGTTTGATTACTCAGCCTACAGTGTTTTTTGCTTTAGTTGTAAGTATTTTAAAAATAAGATTTTGTTATGTTATCCTCAAGTCTGAACCTTAAAGTAAAGTTTTTCAGAAAGACAAATGAGTATATTTTTATAACTCATATTGGTTGACACAATACCTATTATCAAATTTATACAGTGTTGGCTTAAAAAACCTTTTTTTCAAGAAGTATTTCATATAGTACTTTTATTCAATGAATAGAAATTTTTTGAGAGAAAAACAGACTGAAACATATGTAGGTAATGAAGTTAAATTTTTTAGAAACCCATAAAATAAAACAATTTAAACATATAATAATAGCATTTTTATTTTTTTCACATTTTGAAAAAATTTGTAGTCATAGTTTTGGCAAAACTATGAGAAAATATTTTTTTAAATATTTTTAAAAACTAAATATGTTGTTGCTTTGAAAATATATTGATTCTAAAAACATGAAAGTACATTTCTATAGAGTACTAATGTTATACCTTTATTAAATATAGCTCCATTACATGTTGCTAAACAATTTTTACATATTATTATACGCAAATCATGTCTATAAAACAAAGTTAATTAGAAGTTTAAATAACATTTCTGATTTCAAATCATAAATTTAAGTTAGCTTTGCAAGATTTTCCAAGAAATATTTGCAAAAGTATAAATAAAATCATGAGAAATCAGTTAGTTATCATTGTGGTTCATGCTATTTTTGAGCTTATTAATTATAATTTGGGATTGCATCTATCGGTTTTTAAATAAATGTAAGCAAAGTTTATCATAAAACCTTGTGAAGTTATTGTTTTTCAGGACTGCTATGGATAATTGAATGGAAATCGAATATCATAAATGCAATGTGTCCTTTAGTTTTTTAGTTTATGAGTAAAATATATAGGTACATTTAAAAAAAAAAAAAAAAAATTATTTCAAAATGAAAAGGTTAAACAAATTTCATCAAAAATAATAATAATAATTAACAGCCTGTTAATTATTATTTTTATTATTATTTATTTTAGACATAGTTGTTTATTTATATATTTTTATTTATTAGATGGCAATATTGTAATGCATTTTTGTTTTTTGAACTGTTGAAGAATTAAAATAGTTGAATAATATTTCTTTTTTGTATTCTTTGTGTCAAGATGTGTAAGTTAAGAACTTTTTAATGATTCTCATAGTTTATCTAAAGTGGTGATATTAAGTTGCACAATATTTCAATTTCACCTTTTCAAATTGGTGACCAAACTAGTACTGTGAACTCTAAAAGTGGTAGCACAAAAGATAAAGTGATCTCACTTATCTATTTTCTAAACAAGCAAAACATTTTCTATATAACATTTGATTGGTTTTTCTTACTTTCTTTTTGCATTGTTTGAGAAGATTACTTTAAGTTTTTTTTTTAGATTTTGATTAGGGTTTTAGTTAATTAGGGTTTTAGATTTTGATTAGGGTTTTAGTTGATTAGGGTTTTAGATTTTGATTAGGGTTGATTTTTTGTTATTCTGACCATATTGCATGACCATACATTTAGAAATTTAAAATTTTGCAAGCCAGTCTTTAGTTCACTTATAAGCTAAATCATGATCATGGTATCAAAGTAAAAACTACTGAACTTTATTCTCTAATCCAAAGTTAGATTTAAAACTATAGCTTATTTTTGGTATTCTCCAGAACCTGAATCAGTTGCTGGAATTTCAAGTAACTTGGTTTGTCCTTTAGTTAAAGAATAGCTAACCTATCCTTTAAAAACTTTTTTTTCCTTCAGTATGTTCTTTAACCATTTTTCTATCATATTGAATTGTTATAAAAGAATTCAAACATTTAGAAATTAAAAAAAAAAGTTTTATATGATCTCTCATTTTATTTGCAACCATGAACACAACATTCTCTGCTGCTCTGTGTGAAGAAGAGTTTGAGTGTACAAACTCA